TTTTTTTTTTTTTTTTTTTTGAAAAGCCCAGGTTGTTGTAGAGGTGGGGTGGATACTAGACCAACGACAGTTATCCACAGTACTCGGCCAGTCGGTTGTCCAGCTGAATCCCTCTGAAGACCCCACCCACCCTTCCTCTTATCATTTTTGCCCCGGCACAAGCCCACCCCCCCTGTCCTACCCTAGTGTTAACCACCCGGGACCATGACCCATTGCCATATTGGCAGGCTGACCTGACCAGACAGCAGTTGCAGGCACCCGGGCTAGACAGAGAGACCTACCCCTCTGCTCAGCCCTGGTTGAATGAGCCAGTGAGACTCGGACAAAGCAGTCTGTAAACAGACTCTCACGTGAGCTCAATGACGCACAAGCAACAGTCTAACAACGGCTTTTAGCAAATGCAGAGCAGATGCTAAAAGACACGTGGACTGAGAAGGGAACATAGTCCTGTATTCCTAGCTCTGCTCGGAACACAGAGGGACATCAAAGGTCTTCATCAGCCAGTCCAAATCGTAAAGCTCTTAATGATGGCACACAGAACATGGTTTTCCATGAAACATGCACTGCAGGCTATTTTTATAATAATCAGATTAAAGTGTATACTTCAGACTTCCGACCTCCCTTGGATCTTGTGATATCACTGTCCTCTAGTCCAACAAAGAGAGAGTCAAGCATACTGAAGATTGGAATATGAGAAAGCATATCAAATCATCTGACATCCTACCAATGGATGCAAACCCCTCATCAAACAAACAACGAACCTGCAAATAAGAGCACTTGATCGAGAAATCCACATCCTTGTGACTCTGAAACATGGAAACAGATAACACAACCAAACCAAGGTAACCAATGTTAAAAACTTTTTCATCGTAAATTAAAACCCACTCTCTCTCTCTCTCTCTCTCTCTCTCTCTCTCTCTCTCTCACACACACACACACACACACACAGCTTTTCATAAGTCACTGAAACTACAGCGAAATAGTCACTCACAATCGTGCTTCTTCTGTTGAGTTGTGTGTAGCAAACATGATCACACACACACACACACACACACACACACACACACACACACACACACACACACACACACACAACCAAGAGGACTGCATGTACAGACATGCGCTTAGACAGGAGGAGATGGCAGGCACACAATCAACGCAATCCCCCGACAAGCACCCTCACACATTCCAGTACCATGTACGTTGACTGTGTCAGGGACATGAATCATCTGTGTGTCAAAACATTTTCAACCCCCGGATATTTCTTATCCATTTTTTTCTCCATGTTTCCCAATTTTTCCTTACCTCAGCCTGATCCTCCTGCATTCGTTGAAAAATGTAGTCAAGAACACGGGGGATCAATCCCCTCTTCCCATCCTTGCTGCAAATGGTATCAGACAAAGGAGCGACTTGACCACCGTTCGCTTGACCTTCAGATGGCTGCAACGACGTGGGGGCATCTGGCACGATACCTATCCACGAGAGAGCCAGTAGAGAACGACAAATCCAAGCAAACACCATCAACCGACCATTTAATCAGGCAACAAATCATCTACTCGCCAGTGCAATTAGCCTGTAAATCAACCAGCGAGCCATCAACCAATAACCAATCACTCAGTCAGCTTACCAACCACCACTGAACTCATCTGTCAGCCAAGCCGATCAACACCATGCCAGCACTCACATGCTTTTGTTTTTTTTCCTAAGCCAGTTTCGGTCTACCACCTTCTTCCCCCGAATACAACGTACGATCATTATAGCTGTATTTAGACTGAAAGGTACCCCAAATTCAGCTATAATGACCATACGTTGTATTCGGCGGAAGACTGTAGAGGGAGTGGTAGCAGTCGACCGAGGAATTTCAAAGAAAAACACACAGAGTAATCATCCTTTATTCCCCACCAGTGCTGCGTCACTGGATTACTCACTTACAGAATCGACTGGAGTTTCACTGTGGTTATAGAATCACTTAACCAGAAATCCATAAGTGCGAGTGCTCAAGGATACCACTTGCGCAGGGGCCATGCCAAAATCTTCCCTGTATCATTCCATTTTTAACGGACATCCCGAAGGACTGTTGAAGCCAGTTATATTCTTTGTTTACTTTTTTTTCTTTGTTTCTTTGCTTATTGTTTTTGGTTTGTCGTTTCGTTTTCAGTTTTTAGCTTTTGTTCCTTTT